GCAGCAGTCTAAGCAGATAAACTGGATGTTAAGACTCTATGAGTGAGGAGTGTGCTTGGCAGAGGCATCAAAAGAAGCCATGGTGGGAAGGGAGCAAGATGTGGGGATGGCAGGAGGTGAGACTAGAAAAGTATGCAGGGGCATGGTCTTTCAGCATCTTCTGAGTCCTTCTGAGAAGTGTGGATGCTATCTTAGGAACAATGGACGTGAAAGATTGTAAACACATAATCAGTTACATCAGATGTGCATTTTTAAAAATACCTTTAGCTGCAATGTAACATAAATATAATATACTAATGGGTAGAGACAGGGAAACTAAAATTGGAAAGCAATTGCAATAATCCAGGAGAGTCTAGAAGTGTGGTAAGCTAGAGAGAAGTGAAATGATTTAGGGAATAATTTGGACATACAATTATGTGCAGATACAGAGATTTGTCAAGGGTGATTCCCATACTTATAGCATAAGTTCCTGATGAATGATAGAATCATTAACAGACATAATGAATACCAGAGGAAGAGTGTTTTAGGGCTAGTTGTGAGTCAGTTCAAGAAAGCAATCTGGGACTCAGTAAGTTTTAAGTACTTGTAAGGCAACTAATTCACTAGCCAAAGATCACCTGTTTTCTCAATAATTGGACCTATTGTTTAACTCTGAGATCTAGAGATTATTACAGACTGCAAATTCTGGTAGTAATTAGTGATATTCAAAAATTGCTAAAAATGATTATGCATTTAAATTAATTTAGTTGCCATCATATATCCAACTTTGCCTGTTCCACTGTAATTTATTAAATATGTATTGATATATTTTTTAAACATTTACTTTCAGCAAAATCCTTAGTTACACTCTTTTAAGATCTAATAGTTTGCTAACAAGTTTAATCTGGGAGGCAATTAAAAATGCATCATTTGGAATTGTGCAATAAATGTGATAGAAATTAGAAAGATTAAAATAGCATTAAAATATGGCTTATTACACCCAAAAATATGATAGGCTGTTTTGTCTCATATGATTTTAGGGTAAGTATTAGTACTTTTCTACTTAATATCAAATAAAAACCTTAAGGTTATATGATTATAGCTCAGAATAATTAATCTTTTTTATTCCTAGAGCAAGATACGTCTTCTATCTACACTGTGACACAAAGTGAGAATCAGAAGCCTGTTCCCATGTTCAGCCTGACTCTGTGAATCCACATTTATCCTCTCCTGCACAGGCTCCTTAGCAATTGGAGGGCAAATATCAAGCCTTATGGATCTTCCTTAGCATGGTAACTTGCATAGAGTAAATAGTCTGTAAATAGATACCATGCTGAATAGAATTAGTACTTTTTCTAACTTAATTTGACTATTTTGTATGTTTTTCAGAACAGGCTTGGACAATCTAGACCAGCATTCTCCAAAGACTAAAGATCATTATTAGCTGCAAAATTTCTCTTCATCAATGAAGGGAACTACTTCTACTCTCATCTCATGTTCTTATATTCCTACTAATGTATTTTCAAAACCCAAGTCTACCCAGAATAGGGGCCAGTACTGGAAAGAAGGAGGGTCTATATGTATCCTCTTCTCTCAAAATTCTCTTCAAATTTTTCAAAATACACCTTCCTTATTTTTTTGGAATAACAATAACTGGCTTACAAATATTGATATATAGGGACACTGTTAAATAAAGTCTAATTTTTCACTGTCACTGTCAGTACTTAAAAATAAAAAACAGTCAGTTACACATTTCACTCCATTCATTTTGTTCGTGTGTGTGTGTGTGTGTGTGTGTACTGGAGATGGAACCCAGGGGCACTTAATCACTGAGCCACATCCCTAGCCCTCTTTATATTTTATTTTGAGACAGGGCCTCACTAAGTTGCTGAGGCTGGCTTTGAACTTGCAATCCTCCTGCCTCAGCCTCCTGAGCTGCTGGGATTGTAGGCATTCATTTTATTCTTAATGCCTGACTTGAAATAAGGAGGAAGTACCAATACGTGAATGACAAACTCATAAATCCCAGAGCACTCACCACCTCTGCATCTATCAATTCCACATTCCCAGCAATTCACTCAACTTTCTGCTTTCTTCCATGCTGGCCTTATTCAAAGAATAGGCACATTAATAAACATAAAAGTACGATAAAATAATGGAGCCAGTTCAATACAACCTGATAGGAAAAGAACACATTGCTACAAGATCACTAGAAAATGAAACTGTACAGGAACCCCAGAAGTCAAAGAATAAGGCAGAACAGAAGAGCAGAATAGATCCAAAAGATGATCAACCTGGCTAAAGACCTGGGAGAGTCGGGCTTCAAAACCCAGCATCGCAGAGGATGTGGATTTGGAGTTCTCAGATCATATGTTAATGTTATTAAAACCTTTTGAAAGTGGATAACACATGAAAGAGAGAACTTTTAAGAGTGAAATACAAGGGTGAGGACAAATCTGCAGAGAATGCTGAAATTAGACAGATAATGCTGCCAGGAAGGGGACTCTAAGAACAGCACTGCTACCCCTCCACCACCTCATCCTTGGTTTTAAAATGGTAAAAGGGCCTTTTAGGTAGGGAAAGCATATGCCAAGCCAGGAAACCCTGAAAACATACAATGTTTAAAGGAATAATGAATAGCATTGCAAGTGGAATTTAAAGAAATGAAACTGAAAAGAGAATTTGCATCTAAGAGTCATTATGTGCCAAGAAAAGCAATTTGGATGTTATTTGCAATACAAACAGCAGTGGAAATAACAATCGAAAAGAAAATAACTATCACTTTTGGTTATAAACTGTATTGTATTAAATTATTGTCAAAATAAGAATGCAAAGTTCTATGTTTGAGTAATTATTCTTACTACTAATAAAAACAAGACAAGGCAAAACCACTACTAATCAAGGATGTACTGTGGCTGTTTTACAAATTGTAGTGATTGTTACACCTGTATTTTTTTATAGTAGGAGCTTTTTGTGGTGAACAATTCCTTTTGCTGATCTCAGGGGTGCACACAGGTGCCATGATAGCTGCAGTCTTTCCAGGGATAAGGCTCACAACTTTGGTCTTTCTGCTATGAATGTTTAATACAAGAGGCTAGAGTAAGACCTCCTCTTGAAGACCATCAAGGTAATGATAAATCCCCATCAAAAAGCATGTTATGCTTTCAAATCAGTTAACCTGAATCCATTTCCAAACTGATGGGAGAAGGAAGTGGCCACTTTCATGGAAGCGTCTCAGACACTTCAGCAGGGAGTACCTTGGTAAGTCCAGGAGACATAGGAAGGAAGGAAATGATCATGGCAAGAAGAAAAAGACCTGGACAGTAACACAACAGAATCTGCATTAAATGCTTCCAGAAAATATGGAAAGCAATGGAAGAGTTAGAAAACCAAATGGAAAGAGGGACCTGTATGTGATGCTACCAGGAAGCAGAAATGAAGCCAAGACTAACACAGTGTTTCACCCTGGGAAGGAGCTCTTTGAATGAGCCTCATCTTCTGAAATCACTCATTGTGTGTGAGGTTCCCAAAATGGAGAGGATAGTGTTCAATAACTCCCTCTGTATCACAATGCCATTGCCCCCTGCACTAAAAGAACCCCTAAATTCCTGCTCCCATGCTTTGTGTTGCCATGAGCACTGACTATACTTTGCATCTGGAATGTTATACCAAGGCCCATATGTTAAAGTCTTTGTCCCCAGCTTGGCACTTTTGGGAAGCGGTAGAACCTTTGAGAGATGGGGCTTAGTAGGAAGAAGTTAGTCCATTTGGGATGTGCCCTTGAAAGGAGATATTGCAACCTCAGGGCTCTCCTTTCTCTCTTTGCTTCCCAGCCACCATGAGGTAAATAGCCTTGTGCCACCACACACTCCTTGACATTATGCAGTGTGCTGCGACAGTCCCAAAGAAATGGGGGCCAAGTGACCATGTACTAAACCTCTGAACCTGTGAGCCAGAAAAAGATTTCTTCTTCTCAGTTTGATTATTTCAGGTCTTTTGTCACAGTAATGGAAAACTGACTAATACCAGCATCCTCCGCAGCACCTATCTCACTATCCATGAATATACCTTCACTTTTTTATGTAATTTTATAACTTCTTGTTAGACAAAGCAAATAAAGAATTTTAGAATCATCCCTCACACCCTACACGAGTCATAGTTCTCTCAAGAAGTCAGTGTCCAATAAATTTTTATATGATAAGGGGATAAAGAAACAACTACATGTATAGTATAGCAATGATGAGAATCAAATTTGGAAGAAAAGATGTGAATCTGTTCTTAAATGTAGATCCAATATGTAATAGTTTGGGCATGGGGTGTGGAAGGCCAACCTGACAGAAAACCAAGTCACTGGCTTAGTCCCCAGTTTTCTAGAAAATATTTTGTTAATTTTTTTTCCTTTTGTGTTAATTTAAGAAACATCAAAATTGCAACAATATGATTAACTCACACCTCTATTTCACTGAATGCTTGTAGTCTGTGCTTTCCTTGGCTGCATATTTCACTACTTTTATCATCAGTTGAGAAAAGAGGGAAAATGTAATACCCAAATGACATTTCCAAGCTAAAATTAAATTAAGTTGCAGGCACTGTTCAAAAGAAGGTTCCACTGGGAAGCAAACAAAAGAGTGGAAGGAAAACAGAGTCATCCTAGAGTATGGGGAAAACAGGACAATTGCACCTAGCAGTCACTATGTGTCCCATACTAAGGGCCATCTCAGCATCAGAATCAGCACCATCAGTCACAGTAAATAACTGTTGTTGATTTGAACATCATTACTTTTTTTTAAAATGCTGACTCTGAAGCAATTATCTGGCTAACCTCTGAAAATCTAAAGGTAAATAAAGCTCCATTCAAGTCCTCCTTTGGAAGCCAGGTTCCTTATGGAAGCTTTTTGTTAAAAAAAAAAAAATTCTACTCCAACAGCAGTGTAAGGCATGAAGAGTTGCTTCCAGTTTCAGTGTAGCTTTTACAATATGTCACTCTGATGCTGATTTCAGGCAGGGATAAGAATACTTACTGTATGCACATCCATACACTTCAATCCGCATGCCAATCCTGCCCTTGGAGTTCCAGGCTAAAGGCAGGAAACGCAAGAACCTGGCTTCCAAGGGAGGCTGAAGTCTGTAATGCACCACGCTGTCTGAGTTTGTGTTTCCTGGAAAGCCCTGGGAGAAAACAGAAAAAAGGGATAAAATATCTGTGAGATGCTGTCTCCTCATCAATGATCAATGCCTTGTTCACTTTGTTAATATGCAAAACGTGCTTGTGTTTAAGCAGATGTGATCCCCTCTCCCTAGTCCTTGTATTAATAACCATTGCCCAAGGTCCCTTATTTCCAAGATTGTTTAAATTTCACAAGCACCATTAAACCAGCTATACACATAGTACTCTCAAAGGCTTGCTTTTAGAAAGTAGTTCACCCCCTAATCCCTTTTACTAATCTTCAAGTATAGCAACAGAAACACAGGAAGCCACATTCCCTGGCCCTGGAATAATAAAAATCTAGGGCCAATGTGGATATAAAAAACAGGGTCTTAAAAGCCTCTGGATTGATCTGTTCTTATCATCCATGTTGTTTGAAGAACTGCATCATTAGAATATTGTTGAAATAAAGCATTTCTAAAACTCAATATTAAGTTGCAGGCTTTTACTGCTTAGTTTTACCTCCTGCTGGAAATATTAAACCAAGAAAGAAGACAGGTTTCCCATACTCAGCAGAATGTGAATAGCTCAGGTTTCTCAGTACTACTCCCTTCCCAATCAGAAGGAACATTTTATCAGATATTTGGAAATACAATGTTTGCTTGCAAAGAGGTTGTAAATAGAGAAAAAGCCAGAAAAAAATATTTCCAGTGGCATCAAGACTGTATATTTAAAATAATGTATTTGTATTGAAAACAATACTAGATATGTTACAAATATAAGTGCATGTAGCTTAATATATGGCCATAAATCCATTTTCTGAAGAATAATGAATTAAGTCCCCATATTTGAAAAGTTATGCAAAAGAATAAAATAAGTGTATTTAGCATTATGGAATAAAATTCCTTAATGAGTGTTTAATAGTGTGTGCACATCTTATGGACAACTTGAAGAAACTGTTTGCTCAGAATTAAACGAAGCATTGAACTGTATGTCCATACAATTTTGAGGGCATTTTAACAATTCAGTCAATAGCATTTTCCCATTAGCTTCTTCTATGTATTGAATATAGTAACATGTAAAATAGGATATTTTGACAAAATTTAGAAAACTTTCTCATTGAGAAATGCCATTGACCATAAGTATCATGATTTTGCATTTAGGTTAGTATTAAAATAGTCTAAATGTATGAAATTTATTTTACTTACCACCTGGATCAGTCTGGGGTGGGTTTGGAGAATGTCTATGATCAGCGAGGCCCTTCTCATGGCCCTGATCCATTATACTCATATCCCCAGCACCTCACAAGGTACATATATCCTGATGGTGCCACGCATGGCATGAACTTGTCACCACTCATTACATCTGTCTTATTTCCCAGGTGATTTAAATTCTATCCATGACCAGTTCAGTTCAAGCAAATGGAAGGTATTCAGTGGCTTTGCTGCAGGATAGATGTTCCTTGACTGACATTAGGGCTATACTCCCAATGAATCCCCTGTACATTGAAAAAATGGCGACCCAAAAAGGCACCTAACCTAAAAAACAGTATATCAATTCAGGATACTGACGAGTGAGTATCTATTTGTTCCCCATGAGATGCACGAATGACTGAACTGCATCTCACTGCCATTGCCCAGCACTGTGAAGAGTACTGGATATAATATTCTGGGGGGGAAATCAAAGTTCAAAATTCAAAGTACAGTTTCTACTGAATGCACACAGGTTTTGAACCATTATAAAGCTGAAAGTCCTAAGGGGAACTGTTATAAAGTCAGGGAACATCTGCATCAGAAATTCTTCAAATTTAATCATATGTGCTGGACTGAAGGGAGGAAAAGAACCATGGTATGTGTTTCTTACCAACAATGACCAATCTTTTTTCTTTTCTTTTGGTACTGGGATTAAACCCAGGGGCCCTTAACCACTGAGCCACATTCCCAGTCCTTTTTTTTTTTTTGAATTTTGAGACAGAGTATCACTAAATTGCTGAGGCTGGGTTTGAACTTGTGATCGTCCTGCCTGAATCTCCTCCCAAGCTGCTGGGAAGACAGGCATATGCTATGGCGCCCAGCAACACTCACCATTTTAAAGAGTCCTTGCCTAACAGATACTTGTGCATTGACGCAAAGTCAGGGCTAACAGGGCCATTTCTAGTCTTAGTCATTCTCTCTGGTGCAGGTTCCTTGTTCCTCCTTATAGACCAAGCTGAATCAAAGCTACTTTATACAAATTCATCTCTAGGTGTGCCATTCTCGAGGATTCAAGGTCCTTTCTTATTTTGGGGCACCACAAAAGCCAGCCAGTGAATCACCATTTCTTAACTAAGTAATAAAGGGCCTTTGTGAGTCTAAATCATTTCCTGTGTTCACATGTGTTCCCTCCTCAAGAGCAGGGCTGCCTGAGCTTCAGAATGTATGTTCTGTCCATTTCAGCACAGGTCCCTTATTCTGGTGTGCCGGCAGAAGAAACAGGGGCATTGAACCAGATCATCTCATCATAAAGCTCCACGGTAGAAAAAATTAAAGAAAAGAAGATAAGAAATCAGGCCCTAAAGAGAAGGCCCATGCTCCCTGTGCAGAGCAACACAACATCAGCGGCTTGAGTTGGCACGAAAGGCCACATGTCAGGCTAGCTCCTGGCTGATTCTAGGAACTTGGATTTGGGGAGGTCTCTTGCCAAACCCAGAACTGATGAGAGTGATGACCTGTTACCTAAACCACCAGGATAAACAATGTGGATTTTGTTGAGCAGCTGCTTTGTTTCTGGGAATGCTGAGTTTCATATTTGCTACACAGAGTTGCTACATGGCTGGCCTCTTCATAAAAACCCTGGTATCCCAGGCTGATTGTCAACATTTCATGTGTGTCCTCACAAGTCACTGCTAGAGGATCTGAGCATTTCCTGTGCAGCTCCACTCGGGAAGAATCTAGGGAGCTAGTGTCTGGTTTTCTCCAGATCTTGCACCTAGCTGATCAGGGTCTGTACCCTACAGTTGTAAAACTCATGTGCTGCATTCTGTGAGTCTCTTGGTGAATCACTGAACCCAGAGGTGGTCTTGGAAACCAGTGACAAAGGACAAATCAAGTGCAACTTGCAGAGGCAAAGACTCAAAACTGAAGGAGCCTAGGACAAGCTCTATCTCGGTGAGAACCATACTCAGCTAGCTCTGCATCACTGCCCTTCCTTCCATCTTACAAAGATGGACCTTTCTTACTCACAGGATTCTTTGCCTGCACTTCCACACTTTGTGTAATAATCACAGGGCAGAGGAAGGTTCTTGGCATGCTTGTACCTCCAGAGAACTAGGGCAGCTCTACATCTTTCTCAACATGTTGCTCATTTGGCTAGTTCATTGCTCTGAGAATGACATCATTATTGTGCTTACAATAAAGTATTTAAATAAATAAATGCACTGACGTTTTTATTAACTAAGATTTTGGTAGACTAGTTTAGGTGAAGTATGGTAGGACTAATCCTTAGATTTACACACGTTACAGTGTGTTTATAAGGGGAACATACTATCACCAAGTTTGGTACCTTTCATTAAAAAAAAATAAATGAGAAGGAGAAGGAGGAGGAGGAGGAGGAAGTTGTTGTTGTTGTTGTTGTTGTCATTTCTGAGTGGTGGTTCCAGTTCTGCATTCAAAGAAAGTTCATTGAAAAAACATTTAGCCTGGGGCTGGGATTGTAGCTCAGTGGTAGAGTGCTTGCCTAGCATGTGTGAGGCACTGGGTTTGATTCTCAGCACTATATATAAATAAATACAATAAAGGGCCATCTACTACTAATATACATATTAGTAGTAATATAACAATATATACATATTATTATTATATGTATATATATATACATTTATATATAGTATATATGTATATACACTAAATACATATATATACACACAAATCAAAACACATAAATGTTTGTGTATATACACACAGAAACATTTAAAAATATGTTAAAATAAAATTACTATTTTTTTAAATTCTGTATCTTAAGTTAATCTGGTTGTTTTACTGATCAAATAAAGATGGCTTTTTTCTTGGCACTTTAAATTTGAGTTGTCACCTAGTTACTATAGGCTTAAACAGATAAACAAAGGATTGCAAAGGAAGAGCCTGGAGGTCATTTAGACAAATAAACCAGGCACAGAGAAACAAATAAAGCATAATCTCACTCATAGGTGAAATCTTAAAAAGTTGATCTCTTAGAAGTTAAGAATAGAATAATGATTACCTGAGCCAGGGAGAGTAGGGCTAGAGGTGAGAATGGTTGCTCATGAATACAAAGTCAAATTTAGATGAAAAAAATAAACTCTGGTGTTCTATTGAAAGATAGGGTGACTATGGTGAAAATAATATAGATTTCAACATAGCCAGAAGAGGAGATTTTGAATGGTTTACCAGAAAGACATGATAAATGTTGGAAATAATGGATATGTCAATTACTTTGTTTTTTTGTTTTGTATTTTTTGGTACTAGCGATTTAACCCAGGGGAGTTTAAACACTGAGCCAGGATTTTGAGACCAGGATTAAAAAAAGAGCCTGGAGGTCGCTAAGTTGCTTAGGGCCTCAGTAAATTGCTAAAGCTGGCTTTGATTTGCTCTTCTTCTGCCTCAGCCTCCCAAGCTGCTGGGATTGCTGGCCTGTGCTACCACGCCCAGCAATTACCTTGTTTTGATCTTCACAGTGTATATACATGAATGGAAATATCACACTCTACCTCACAAATATGTACAATTATCCTGTGTCAATTAAAAATGAAATAAAACTTATCTTTAAAAAGCTATTATGCCAGTTCAAGAAACGAAGAGAAAGTAAGAAAAGAGGGAGGGAGAGAAGAAGGAAGGAAGGAAAGAGAGAGGGAAGGAGGGAGGATGGGGAGAAGAAAGGAAAAAAGGAAGGATTATACAGATTAACAAAATCCATTTTATAACTCCTGGGCAAATCACAATGTATGAAGTCATAGAAAAATGACCAGTCTGTCTCCAAATGTCCCTTTGCTTCTGCCCTATAGTATCTGAGGGGCTATCAAGATGTTAAAATCTTCATTTACTTGACTCTTGAAAGCTTTTCAATCTTTAGAAGTCTTTAGCAGAGATGTGGTTAAGGTCTTATGACCATCCTGGGCAGGTAACTGAAAGCTCAGTCCTTGTCCCCAATGCCAATCAAATAATGAGAACATCGGTTTGAGAAAAAGGAAAAAGTTGTTTTATTGCTTTGCTAGCAAAGGAGAAACACAGGGGACTCTAATCCAGTGATTCTACCCATCAGGGTAAACAGAGGACTT